TTTAAATAAAACATCAATAAAAAGTTAAATAAAATTATTTTATTTTTAAATTGAGACATTTAAATTTTATTGAATTTTACTAAATATAATACATAATTAAATAGTAGAGGGTCAAAATAATCATTTTACCACCTAATCCCAACAGTAAATTGTCCCCCAAAACTGTCCCACACCCCCCCAGGATAGTATAATCCCCCATATGAGGGATAAGGAGTCCGGTCGGACTCCATGCCTGGCGGACTAAAAAAAAAAACAAACGCCGAACAAAGAGCTTCCCCCGGATTACAATGCCAACAGTAAATAATCCCCCCCGTTATCCCCCCAATCAAACACACCCTTAGGGGTTGTTTGGGATGGGGAGGAAATAATTCTCCTCGTATAATCCTGTTGACCAAGTCCACGCTCCTCCGTACGACGTCGCTTTGTTACCTGAAAACACAAACGTGAGCTAGCCGGCGGGTGTGTGCCGGAAACCTCTCCGATGCCTAAGTCAGAAAACTTGACAAATAGACAAAGCTCTAAGTTCTCAGAAAGATTGTGTTCAATTACCTCCTCCAAGGTGTTGCTTGTGAGCTTTTATAAGTTTCATATGGCACAATCCTAGTAGGACTTGTATTTCTCCATACAGAGTCCTCCTAGGATTCAATCTCCTAAGGATAATGCTTATCCTTTTACACCCTCCCCCACTGCTTAAACCAAGTGGGATGGTTTTCTCTATGGCCGAACTTCCATTTGACCGAAGTAAAATTGGCTATACCGAGCCACAGAAGGCCGAACTATCCTTAGCTCGGTCTTCTGCTCCAACTCTTTACTTCGGCTGCCCTGTTCAACCTTGATGTACTTAGTTCAAACTTCCAAGTAACAAGTTCTGACCGACCTAACCACTGTAAGTCATGACCGGACTAACTCTGAGACCGGCCTAGCTGTGAGTTGCCTCCAGACCGGAGTAATTTTACTCTTCCTTGGGCCGAAGTAACGATCTCTTCTTGAGCCGGAGTAATTTCACCTCCTTGGGCCGAAGTAACTTTGTCTTCCCAGGGCCGGAGTAACTTTGCCCTTCCGGGCTGGAGTATTTATTGCGGCCTTCTTACTTAGTCCTTCGCGTTTTGGGCCTCAATGCCCAACTCTCAGCTCGGCCCAATTTTCCCAAAAATTACCCTCTCAGTAGGCACACAATTGGAATTATTCTCTAAATCCAGTTGATGGTATCCTCTAAATTAATATTCCTCTAAAATGTTTCTTGGATGATTCCCATTATCCTCTAAATTCCATCAACTGGAATTATTGGGATAAAATTCCATTAACCATTCAATTTACATACAAGAAATCTCAAAAGATGTCAGTATTGTTGGGTGGGTCTGGAGATGTGAAGTTGATAACCATTCAATGGGTGGGTCTGGAGATGTAACCATTCAATGTTTGATAATTTACTTAAATTTTATTTGGAGATGTGAAGTTTTGTTGGGTGGGTCTGGAGATGTGAAGTTGATAATCGAGGGTTGGGTATTGTTGCGTCACCCTTTTTATTCCATTAAATTAATTTAATATAATATGCACGGCCCCATTATAGTCACGGTGGAGCAATAACCCACCAGCCATAACTAGCCATAATAAAATAATATTAAATTTTTAAAAATGGAATTATTCAACAAATTCGATGCTTTAAATACTAAAAGGATAATGGGAATCATCCCCTAAATCCAATTGATGGTATTCTCTAAATCCAGTTGATGGAATTTACAGACAACAAATCCAGTTGATGGAATTTACACATTTTCTCTTCTTCTTTTCATATTCTTTACGCGTGTTGTGACTGGAAAACTATCGATCAAATAAAGACACAAAAGCAGTTTCGTGTACCAATTAGAATTGGTCAAATAAACCAAGCCAAACTTCTGTTAACAAATCTGTAATGTTGACAAATTGCTGTAATTTTTAATTCGGTAATACTATAAATTTAGACTTATGTATAGAATTTATTTAAAAAAATAATTAATAATTCAAATTTAATTTATTCATAAATTTCACACTTTTATCAATTTAATATTCATCACACAAATACATTTAAATAAACTATGAATTGATAAAAATGAATTCATAGTATTTTTATTTTTAATTACCTCTCTCTCATTTATTTAGTAGAAAATAAATCAAAGTAGTATAAGACAAAGAAGGCTTTATTTATTAACTTCTTTGGGATTTTTTATTGGGCTTAAGGTAAACCAATCTAAATGACATCTTTTATACATTTTTAAATCATAATTTTTTTGTTTCAGAGTAAATTATACTCTTTTTTTTTTTCTCTTGGTAAATCTTTTCCTACAATCATTGTCAATAGGGTTTATATTTCCTACTCTGATGAATGCCATCGAGTCAGGTTAAAACCTTGTAATGATACCACTTAATGCAATGAAATACAAACGAGGATTAGATATCATTGTGATAGACAAAATAATTCCAAATCCAGGAAAAGAAAATCTTGAATGCACAAGAAATAAAAGAATTTTCAAAGAAAAATTGAATATTATTAATAAAAGTTGTCTTTGTCATAAAGTTTACATAACTTAGAATAATAAAAATTATATAGAAGTTCATTTTCTAGATCAATTTTAATGATGTGTAAAAAGATGATTAACTAATGATTAGAGAAAATATGAGAATGTGTCTCACTTTTAGAGTAGAATAGTACCACTAAGTAAATTTAGGCACTAAGAAATATAAAATTGAGAAACAATAGACTAGTCCAATTCTTAAAAAATAAGGAATCTAAAAATTAAGAAAACAAAACAAATTCAAATTAAGAAATTTAAAATTTTAGAATATTATACAAGTTTGATAATAAAGTTCTATATCAAAAATATGAAAATTAAAATATAGAAACTTCTAAAATCTTGTCCTTTAACACCACAAGAAGTATATGTTTTAGAACACATTTGAGATTAGGACAATATTTTTTAAATATTATCATATAGTCATTTAATTTTTGAATTAAAAAAGAAAATAAAAAATTCTAAATTGGTTTGCTAACAACCAACGTGACAATCCAATTAGTCCGGCATAGCAACAATCTAATTGGATGAGCTGGAGAGTGATTGGACAATCCAATTAGTCTACCAAAGTATCGACCTTTGCTAGCGACAGAAATAAATAAATAAATAAATAAAATATGACCGAGACAAAATGACTGTGTCTATCTTTTGACAGTTGTATAGGTTTTTTTTAAGGGCAAATTACTTACGCCCCCTTCACATTTAGTTAAATTACAGATTTTTACTTGAAGTTTCATAAATTACATCTCATCTTTTGAGATTTATATTTGTATAATAATTTAACCTATGCCGTGAACTAAAGAATGGTTATAGAAGCATGCTGACATCACCAAAATATATATTGATGGACGATATTGCCTCTCATATCTTTCCGAAGCACCAAACAACTTAACTTGAAATCTCTTTGATAAGTCAACAAAATTTATGAAAGAATTATCTTAGATGAAAAAAAAAAATTAAGTTTTTGGAACCATATTAGGTTTATTGTTTAGAAAAAAATTTCATAATTTTTTTTTTGAAAAAATGAAACTAATTTAATAAAAATAAATATGAAAAACATATTTAATCTGTAAAAATTATTTCTAACCAATCAAAAGATAAAATTATATAAAAATGATAATTATTAATTATTTTTTATTTTTTATTTCTTAACCAAATTAATTTTTAATTTTTAAAAAAATTTCGGAAACAAATTTCTAAAAATCAAACCAAACATAGCCTAAAAATATTTTGATAAGCTATATCTTGTGTTGGTAACTTATGTAATTATTTTTTAATTTTATGATATTTTCACCATCTAATAAGTATTTTTCCATTATAATTTTACATTTCATAACTTATTCAATTAATTAATTGGGTATTCACAATTTATTCAGTTAATTTATTATTTTTTGAGTTTTTTTTTTTTAAATTAATTAATTTTGTATTCACAACTTATTCAGTTAATTTGTTGTTTTTTGAGTTTTTTTTGGGTGAATAGTTATTTTCTGGGTAATAAATAAGTACCATGGAATCCTCTTCAACATGGAAGGAATGAAGAAAGAGCACTCAAGTAGCTAGAATTGAAATATTAGCTTAGAAAAATTTAATACATTATCTTTTCTT